CGGATCCTTTATAAATGGTTGGGTCGATTCGGGCCAGCCGGGTAGACCTGAACCGTTGACAGCCCCTTCAAGAACATGAACGATGATAGCGATTGTGCTGCAGCATGGTTGGTATCACTTTTCCCTCTCCCTTCGGATCTGTACTTCGAGGTAAGGACGCTTCAAAACCGCACTCGATGTTTGTACCATTGTTATTCAGGCATAAGATTTTGCCCTGCGAAGTTGGTTTTGGGTTTTCACGAATTATAAAATTCTGCTAATGCAATTTCTGCCTTGTCATTGCAGCAACGTTCGAATGGGTTCGGATTGTCAACTGCCGTATTAGAATGACTACCGTAGGGTAAGCCACCATTGGTTATATCCGTTGGAACTTTTTATAAGGGTTTCTCTTGCTTTATTGCCGTTTTTTATGGTTGTAACTTGTTTTAATCTACTAATACTCCCCTTGGCTTCTACAGGCATCGCCACTTTCTTGAGATTGCGTCATTGGAGCAGATTCTAACGTTCGAATTGGAGCCGTAATCCTCCGAGGCCTTGCATACATTGGAGTCCAGAATAAGCCACTCTAACCCTCTTCTTCTATATTCACTTGTAAACTATTTTTCGTCCACCTGTTCCTAATTAGATATTCTTGCCAGGTGAAGGGTGTGAGCGCAAACGAGACTCAGAAGCGATACGGATGCGGAAGCTGTACAGGTATGCATTTTTTGTACAATGTCTGCATACTTAAATTATATCATCTTTGGAAGACAAGGTTTGTCGGTCGTGGCAGTGGTTATAATATCCTTGGGTCTTATGGGTGCAGGCACGGAGAATGCTCGACTTGCATGCAAGCTCTGCAAGCTCTCACGGCTTTACTATGAGGAAGCTGGTCCAATCTTCCGTGTAAGTTTCTCAACTCTCCACTTCATTCTGTGTCCTCTTTTGGGTGTTTGGCTTTCTAATTCGCTCTGGTTAAATGCGTAGTTTTGGACTCCTCGAGGCGTTGCTACTTTTGGGGAGGGCATTCCGACTATATCGCGCCATATTATTGTTTCCGCTTTTCGTTAATAATGTAAGTATATCTGACACATCCCTTGTATAAAGGACTTCCATTTTCTTTTAATTCCTTCGGAAAAGTGACTGACTATTTCTCGTCATGCTTTAACTGGTGGCTCGACCGGAAATTGGCTGCCATTCAAGATAGGGCTGTCAACGGGTGGGATCCGGGTCCGGTCTAGGTAGAAGCACTCCCGAGTAGATCATTAATTGGGACAAAACGTAGACCCAAAACCGTCCATTTTAACTTAAAATTTAGGTTGAAACAAATACATA